GGGCAGGTTCACAGATGGGAGACCAGTGGGCGGGGCAGGTTCACAGACAGAGACCAGTGGGCAGGGCAGGTTCACAGATGGGAGACCAGTGGGTGGGGCAGACCAGTGGGCGGGGCAGGTTCACAGAGAAGCTCCTTGCAGCGCGCGGCCAGGAGGGGTCACAGCAGGCACTCACTGTCCTCACTGGACTCTTCCCAGAGGCCGCCCCGGGCCCCAAAGGTCCTGCCTTGGGAAAGGCGGTAGGCGGCAGAAATGACATCGGCAGGAGGGCAGGGGTGGGAGCGCCTCACAGTGGGGGCTCCTCCTTCCTGGTGGTGCTGGTCAGCCTGGGCCCCATGTGGACCCCCCTGTGACCTCTGGGGAGGCGCTGCTGGGTATGTATGGCCCCAGAGCTACCTGGCCTCACTCAGAGCTGCCACCTCTGCCTCCTAGAGTTGGAAACTTTTCTTCCCCTTCCCCTGCTCCCTCTTTCTTCACCACTGTTTTTGGTTGTTTGCCACAGTCGGCATGAGGAGCTGTGGCAGGGAGGGAGCCAGCCTCACACCTGTCGTCTCATTTGACACAAACGAGGCAAGGCCCCCAGGATTCCCAGCAGAGGCTCTGGGGCCAGGCAGACTCTGGCTTCCCTGGTGGCTCCACCACCTCCCTGTTCTGTGTCTCCTGATGGTTTGCTTGGCCTCTGAAGCCCCGCTTCCCCCTCTGCAAGGCCAGGGGAGACCGGAGGGATCTCAGCCATAAAGGAGACACGGAACAGCTATGGGGACTGGCCTGTGGCTTGCCTGCCTTGGGGCTGGGCTGCCGCCATGGGGATCCTCTCCGCCTCACAGGGGGATGGAGGTGAAGACAGCTGCCCACCGCTTCCTCTGCTGGAGGGATGGCCGCTGGGACTGCCCCATCTCCACTGGGCCCACAGTGACAGATGTGCCCTCTCGGACCCGGTGGGGACAAGAGTAGGGTCTCAGGAGGAACGCATGTGTGGAGGAATGGGGGGGCCACAGGTACAGACTGAGAATAACACTCCACTTCCTATCAGCAATTGCTCTGGCTCTGAGAAGGAGGCTGGGAAGCAGGTTTTGGAGAGAAGTCACAGCTGGTGGCTTTCATAGCACAGATGGTTTCAATGCCAGGAAAATGTTTTTTGACTCTCTCCTCCCGATGGGAGAGGGAGGGAAAACGTCTTTCCTAGTAGTTATCACAAACCAAGCAAACCCGTGCCCATGTGTGGCTCAGGTGAGGAGCGTGAGCTGCCGTGGCCTTGCTCTTGAGGGGCAAAAGGGCAGGAAACCTGTCCCTTCCTGGAAGCCCAGAGCAAGGCGTGGGGACAGGTAGGAGCTGCTCAGAGCCCAGTGTGCTAACAGCCCCGTACTCCTTTTCCCAGGGTGGAGCATTCTGTCCCATTGGGGGTGGGGACCAGGCGGCCGGGAGGGCAGGTGTATGGGTGTCATGCACTGAAGACAGAGATTGCCCCGCCAGGAAAGGGCTCAGGCAAACAGCGGGGCTGACAGCAGAGGCACCAGCTTCAACTCATGGCTTTTAATATAATCGGGTAGCGAGGTGGGAGATGATAGATGAATCAGTAAGCAGATGACACATCCGTGGACCTGTGGGTGGCAGATAAACTCAGCAGCAGGTGGATCAGATTTAATCTCATATATCAAAAATATGATCATTTCAACGTGTAATCAATGTGAAATCAATATGAAGACATGGATGAGATATTGTAGAGTCTTTGTCACAGTGAGTCTTCAGAATCGGTGTGTGTTTCCCGCTGACTGACAGCGCCCTCGGCACAGGCTGGCTGCAAGCGTGGGGGCCACAGGTGAGCAGCCCCAGCCCCGCGCCAAACCCCACGGACAAACGCCTCCATTTCCTAACAATGATTTTTAAGGATCCCTTGATTATCCTGAAGTGAAATTACACATGGATTATATAATCTACCAGACAGAGCACACTTTAAAAAAAAAATAATCAGTATAATGATGTAACTATAACATAATGGAGGAATAGGCCGGGCGCGGTGGCTCACTCCTGTAATCCCAGCACTTCGGGGGGCCGAGGCAGGCGGATCACTTGAGGCCAGGAGTTTGAGACTAGCCTGGCCAAGAAGGTGAAACCCTGTCTCTACTGAAAATACAAACATTAGCCAGGTGTGCTGGCACCTGTTATCCCAGCTACTCAGGAGGCTGAGGCAGGAGAACTGCTTGAACTCGGAAGGTGGAGGTTGCAGTGAGCTGAGATTGTGCCACTGCACGCTAGCCCGGGTGATAGAGGGAGACTCAGTCTCAAATAAATAAATAAATAAATAAAATAAAACTACACTGGAGAAATGAAGGGAATTTTTTTCTCTGTGTATATATACATATGTATATTTCAATTTGTAAAACTTTCAAAACAGCTTTACCTGCACACACAGTGAAATGGATGAGTTTGGGTATAAGAAGGAAGACAATATTCAATTTATGTATATTCAACAATTTAGAAATCAGGGTCAAGTGGCTGTATCTGCGTGTGTGCAGACATGTGCATGTAAAATCTCCACGAATGTGGCTGCTACAAACAGCAGACGGACACGGAAGCGTCACACTTGTGACTCGCGTGGCCTGCACGGCATAGCAATGTGATATAACTTTGTAAATGGTGAAAACCTCTCGGTAACGTCACAAAGCGTTAGCTGTTCCACTGTTGCATTTCTGACACGTAATGTACGTAAAGCTGCAGAAGTAATTCTTCGTGATTTCATGGAGAGCAGAGTGAGGGTTCAGGCCTGGACCACTGAATGCAGGATTTCCACCTGTCAATGTCTGGTGGGGGCTAAAGCCACGTGGCCCTTGGGACAGCATTTGCCTTGTGGGCGAGTCCTGTGCCTGGCGGGGGACCTGGTGTCCTTGGTGCCTGTCTGCTCAATACCACTTGTGTCCCCTCATCATTGTGACGACCTGAAAGATCCCACGGGTTCTGAGAGGCTTCCTCAGTACCCAAAATAAATCAACCTTCTTTTTTGGGTTGGCCCTTAAGCAGGCAGACGCCCCCTCCTCAGGAAGCCCCTCACCTGCTCACGAGGCACGAAGTTCCTCTAACAGGAGAGACATGTAGGCACACAAGTGAGGCGGCCGCCCTGGTGAGATGGAAGCCTCTCCGAGGAGCCCACACCGAACAGCAGCGCTGAGAACCGCTGCCAGGCCCCGAGGTCCCCCTCCTCCTGACCTGGAAGGGCCCAAGCGGCTGCCATGCCGTGACCTAAGGGAAGCCTGGCTGAGCCGCGTGACACTCACCAAGCCCTCTTCATGCGTCTGATGAAGTTCCTCTCTGAGTGAGGCTGGCATTGCAATGGCCAAGCTGCCTTTGTAGAGGTTGGATGGGCGCTTCACGTCACAGCCGCCTGGGGCCCACAGTGGGGCCCCTGAGACATGCCCCGCATTGTGAAGACGTGTCAGATGGCAGAGGTGCGAGTGACTCAGGAACCTGCGGGTGCCACGGCTGGAAGCAGGGCACGTGTGCAGAGACTCGGAGTTGGGGCAGTGGGCAGGAGCGGTGCTTGGCCCCAGACACCGGACCCCACCACATGCCACCCTGACACCCCCACGCTGCAGACTGGGCCCCTCTGCGCCATCACAGGGCATGCAGCTGAGCCCTCGCTTCCCAGGCTCTGTCCCCCCTCAATCCCAACTCCACATTTCCTAGAAGGAAGGCTCGGTCCAGTCTTCAGCCTGGTCCACTCAGCCACACCCAGAGTGCCAGAGCTCAGACCACACACCTGCTGCAAACCAGCCCAGCCTCCAGGGTGTGGGGCTCCAGGCACTCACCCCACCGCTGGCCACCACCCATGATTTAGATGGCCACCACTGTGGTACAGATGTGCTGGTCCTAAGAAGAGAACGGGAGGGAAAGACCCAGGAAACACATAGAAAAAACCAAAACTAGTCAGTGACTAGAACTCACAGATGTTCTGTCAACTAACAGCTCTGCTCTGGGGTGAGTATCTTCCCATTCATGAGCTGCTTCCTCCTGGCTCGGGCCCTTGAAGGTGTTCAGGATCAACCCACTGAAAGGCAAGGACGCTGGGGCAGTGGAAGGCGGCGTGCTCACCGACGAGCTCACCGACGCAGTGCTGTGGGTGGGTGGGAAGGAGCGTCCGCCCTTCCGTTGTGGCACAGCTGCTTATCTCACAAAAGTGGACCTTTGGAGGGTAGTCCCAGTGCCACAGAGAAATGTGTCTCCAAACACACTCGTGGCTTCTGCAAATGGCACACAGCCAGGCCTCCTGGGCGCTGACCTAGGGCACAATTTTTTGTGCATGAGAACTGCCTTATGGGGTGAGCACCTGACTCTGAGGTTTGTGTTCCCAGGGCTGACATGTCTGTGGGATTCACAGCCGGACAGGGCATGCCTGGAGGGGAACCATGAACCTGGATATCACCCACCCCTTACCTCCCTCAGGCCCCTTGGCCACAGAACCTGTGACACGGGCAGGCTCAGGAGAGGAGAGGAGGAAGGGAAGGAGCCCAGGCCGCAGGGCTGGGGCAGCTCCAAATGTGGTTTCATCTGGGGGACGCTGCAAGGCTAGAATGAAACACCCTGCCCTCTTCGCTTGCAGGGGTCAGAGGCCACTGGCTTTGAAGACATTTGCCAGTGATGTGTGGGAAGAAACACTCAGCCGGTGTTTAGGTGGCACGTGGAGGCCACTGGGGAGCACAGCCCAGACGAGACGGAGCGAAGGTCTCGCAGCCACCCAGGGTGTGGGGG